TCATAATAAAATCACAAATATAAAACTTCTCTTGTCTGTTATTTCAATTCTTTTAATTCATTTTTCTTTTTTAAATTTGTTTTTTCTTTCTTTCTCTCTCTCTCTTTCTCTCTTTTATCTTTCGATTTTTTTATTCCACCTATTTTTTCGATCGCCATTTCTAATTCATTTTTTTTTATTTTTTTTCTTTTTTAATATTTCATTTTTTTTATTCCACGCCATTTCTAATTCGTTTTTTTTTTGACTTTTTATTTCACGTCAATTTCTCAATCGGTATTTATTTCATTTTTTTTTTCTTTTTTTATTTCTCGATCTTGTCTATTCCATTCTCCTCTTTTTTTTTATTTCTCGATTTCGTTTATTTCATTTTTTCCTTCTTTTTTTTTATTTCTCGATCTCGTTTATTTCGTTTTTTTCTTTTTTTTCTCTATTTCTCGATCCAGTTTATTTCATTTTCTCCTCCTCTCTTTTTATTTCTCGATCTTGTTTATTTCGTTCTTTTTTTTTATTTCTCGATCCCATATATTTTGTTTTTTTCTTTTTTTTTTATTTCTCGATCTCGTTTATTTCGTTTTTTTCTTTTTCTTCTCTATTTCTCGATCCTGTTTATTTCGTTTTCTCCTCCTCTCTTTTTATTTCTCGATCCCGTTAATTTCATTTTTTTCTTTTCTTTTTTTATTTCTTATCTCGTTTATTTCATTTTTTTCCTTTTCCTTCTCTATTTCTCGATCCCGTTTATTTTGTTTTCTCCTTCTCTCTTTTTATTTCTCGATCCCGCCTATTTCGTCTTCCTCCTTTTTTTTTATTTCTATCGTTATGGCTTTGGTTGCTCCTGTTGTTGCTTCATTCAAATTGACCATTGAAGCTGCAAGAGAATTAATTCGACTTTGACGCGAGAATCATGACGATTTTGAGTTCGTTCCTAATAATCGTCATGAAAGGATATGGAGAACTATATCCAACCAATTGTTTCTTAATAGAGGACTCGCCGCTTCTCCTTCTCAATGTCGTAGGAAATGGTACTCATTAAAATATGGGTACAAAAATCTCAAGAAGTTGGAAGCTGGGAAGAATCCCACGATCAACCAATAACAAACCCAATTCTGCATGATCGGATATTTCATACAGACTTGGGTGACGAATTTTGGCTTCGAACTGGTAATTATTTATTGAATAATAGTAATAAGAAATATATTTTTTAC